TTTCTTTTGTCTAACTGCTTGCAGAAATTTTTTCTTTTCGGTTTCTGGACTCTTAACTTTTATATGCTTGGGTGTAGATTTTTTTGATCATGGTTAATTGGAGTCCTATATGCCTCACTTATCTATATGTGAAGTTCTTTTCCTCTGCTTGGTAAGTTTTCTGCCATTACTTCTTTGAACAAGTTTTTTTAAAAAAATGCCATTTGTACTCTCTCCTGTTTCTTCATTGACTAAAATCAGTCTATGTTATTTTCTTTGTATCATCTAGCAGCTGTTTGATTGATTTTTCATGTTCTCTTACTATTTTGGGGAAATTTTTCTTTTCCCAGTCACTAATTGTGATCTGGTTTTCTATATCTAATATTCTGTCCTCATATTGGCCTTTAAAACTGCTACATAAACTTTCAGTGGCATTTTTAATCTCTTGGATATCTCTGCATTTGTTTTATGGATTCCATTTGTTTCCTATGCTGGGATTCCATCATGTTCCACAGCTCCTCTCTATTTTTTTTTATTTGTGTCTGCTGTAGAGTTATTAATCATTTCTTGCACTATGGTCACAATCTCTATTGTTATCTGAGAAATTATTTCTGATTTAATTTTTTCCAGATCCTCTTTCATTGCTAGTTCAGGGAGTCCAGGTGGTTGAATCAGGTCGTTTCACTTTGTTTCCTTTTGGGATTGCTTTAGGTGATCTGAAAGTCTGTTTTTAAGACTTATTTATGTGTCTTCTCATTTCAACAAATGCAGATTGCTGTGCCTTTGTTAGGTGACTTTTAGTTTTCTCAGTGGTCTTCAATTCTCAGTAAGCTTCAGAGAGACTTTCTCTCTGCTGCTCCCTGCTTTGCCAATTCCTGGGTTCAGAATGGTGGCCTTATTGATCCCTGGTCTGCCCTCTTGTCTGGTTGGGGTGCTGGCTGGGACTTGTGCATACTTGAGATGGTAGCTGTGTGTGTCTCTGGCTGGGTCATGCCCACCTGCATAGCTGTTGTCTTGGAGTGCCTTTGATGGGGGCCTTTGATGGGGCTGTGTCCCTGAGTTGCAGGTGTCTGAACAGGATTCTGGCTAGGTTCTGTGTGCACTTATGATGGTATCTGGGTGGGCCTCTGACTGTTGCTTTCATGCTTTCACAGCTCTTTTCCAGATGGGCCTTTGGCTGGGGCCTGTGGGCCCAAGCTGCTAGTGTATGGGTTACACTGTGGCTGTGAGTTGTGCACACCCCCATCACTCTGGTTCACCATTTATGTGCTATTTTATCCAAAATACTTTCACAAATAGAAAAATATATCAATCTAACAATTAAAATAATTTTATATATAATAGGAACAATTTGAAAACAATTTATTCATAAAGTAAAGAGTTATTGTACTCATCAAAAGAAGAATAAAAAGTTGGTATTAAGTGGTAGGTTTTGGCAGCTGGGAAGTCATTTTTAGAAAATGCTTTCTTTTTTTCCCTGCACCATTATGCTAAACATTTTATAACTTTTGGGTAACTTGTGTTTTTTTTGCACTTAAGCTACACTTAAAAAGCAACAGTACAGAAAAACACTTCTAAAAGAAATAAGAATTTGTTATGCATATGAGAAATTATAGAACATAAAACCTCTTCACCATTCTTGCTTGCTGAATATAAAATCAAATGCTTTGGGTTTATTAAAACACAAACTCAGAGTTGCCTTTTGGCATTTCCCCTAATCAGGATGATTTCCACCTCTCCACTGTCATTTTTGCCTGACAAAACTCCTATTCAATTCTTCAAGATTAGCTCAGGTATCAAAATCTATGGGGAAGCTTTTTTCACTGCTTATTCCTTCTTCTGTTTGGTCCAGTGTTTTTCCTCCAAGCTCCCAAGTACCTGTGTTTGCAGCTTCCATCACACTTAGATGAATAATGTACATTTTCACATTTTGGGTTGTTTCCCTCATTAGACTGTAGTTTGTCTTGAGTGGAGACTATATCATATTCAGTGTCAACACGGCTTAGCATGGTGACTGGTGCTTAGAAGACATTCAGTAAATTTGAGCTGGTGAATGTGTGTGCAGTGTCACCCAGAAAAGAATTGGTAATCAAGTGTCAAGGAGCAGAAAGAGTATTTGTGAACTATGTTAGTCAACTTTTAGTGTGTTAAGAAATGAGGTCAGTGGCTTATAATGACACACATTTATTTCTCATTTACATTAATGTTTGTTATGGGCAGGTGAAGAATTCAGTCCCAAGCTGTGTGCCAATGAGTATAAGTTCTATGTCTCTTCTCATGGCAGACCTAGGTCTCAAGATAGATGAAAGCAGTATGACTAACTAACTCCATTTTTATCACAGTTAAAGCTTCTGCTGAGATATGGGTGGGGGAGTAGATTCTTCTAACAGAAAGACATATAAATTTTTTAAAAGACATAAATAAAATGAGATGATGTCTTTCTATAAGGGAGAGTTTGGGTAGTTGCAAATATAAAAATATAATCAGTGATAGGTACTTTGTCTCTTCTTACCTACATTGACAAATGTGCAACTCAAAATGTTTGTGGAAGTCTTGATAACTAATAAATTTGTTTACAATAACTAATTTGTACCTGAAATTCAGGTCAGAGATCAGATTGGCTACAGCTAATAGCCAAATTTAGTCTTTTAGGGATTAGATTGCAAAATTAGGAAGCCTCACTTTATTCTTCAGGCAAAGATAGTATGTTAGTCAGCTTTCCACTGCTGTGAAAAATAAACTTAAAAGAGGAAATGTTTATTTGGACTCGTTCTTTTAAAGATTTCAGTTTATGATCAGCTGGTTCCATTGCTTTTAGGCCTGTGGCAAAACAGAACATGATGGTTGGTAGTACATGAGGGACTGAAGATGCTCAACTCATGGTGGCTGGGAAGTAAAGAGAAAGAGAAGGGCAGGGAGAGGGAGAAGGAGAAAAAGAGGGAGGGAGGGAGGGAAGGAGAGAGAGAACAAAATATGGCCTTCAGGGCACACACTCTATGATCTATATCTTACGATTAAATAGATCCTCTCAATAGCTCATTAAGCTATGGAACCATCAATGGCTAACCCATTGATAGAATCAGAGTCCTCATGATCTAGTCTCCTTTCCAAGAACCCCTTCCTGAGCACTGTTGCATTTGGAAGCAAATCCCCATCACATAAACTTTTGGGGGACAGTTCTGATCCAAATCATGTCAAAGGTTACTGGATCAAATTGCTGCCTTTGAAGATCTGGTGTATAGAGCACCTAGACCTCCCTTGCTGGACTTTTCTCTCTGCTGTAGAAAGAAGAAGAAGAGGAGTCAGAAGACCAGTCAGTGCAAAGCAATAACTTTACAGCAGAGAGACATCGCCTGAACTGCAAAAGTGTTTGGGCATTTTGAAATAAGAAAGCCTTATAGTCTTATCCATAGAGAACTTAACCTCTCGATGTTAGCCAGTGTACATGTATTGCAATAATATATTTAGCAGGACTTGGTGTGTTTCTCCCATATGGCTTGAACAAAGAAACCACTGGAAGCCCTGTCAGTGGACAAAAACAGAAATTGATTTTAAGTAGCTGTTTTTTTTCTTTACCTTGGGAAATCAGGACCGGCAGTCCCTCAATATCAAGGAGTCTCTGCTTAGTTACCTTAATGTTTTCAGATGATTTTAGATTACACCAGTCAATATACTATTCCCAATTGACAAAAACTCCCAAGTTATTACATAAGAGTCCCTCACTGATCAGAAATAGCATGCCAAAAAGTTATTACATGTAGCCAACAATAGGCATTGTATTTATAAAACACATCTTAGATATAATTTTGATTGGTGATAACCTGAGTGGGACCATGTCATTGACCTTAACAACATCTTTTACTTTTATCTAAGTTAGCCCACTGTTAAACTGTGTGGACCACAAAGATTAAGCTATATACCTAAATGTTTTAATGAGTTTTACTATCTTGAAAACCTATATAAAACTACTTTCCATTAAAATCTAAAACAAAATTAAAAACCCCAAAGATATAAAAGAAAGAAATTACTGAGCTCAAAAACAAAGTAGATGCAGGCATCGTATCCAGTTATTAGCACACACTGAACAGATAGACAAGTACATACAAGACAATTGTATTTAAATCACAGTGCACTTTCAGATGGATTGGCCACAGTGCCCTTTAGTGATTGTAATAACATGGAGTTCTTCTCGACAAATGTGTCCTAATTTTTCATAGTTAACAGGCTTATTCCTTGTATTCCTCAGTTCCTCTTTGATGCAATAGAGGAAGTGCAAAGGGGTCTGTTTTTCAGGAGGCATTTCATAGAATCTATTGAGGTTTCACAAACTTCATCCCCTATAGGTGCAGACACTTTGTTAACTTTAATTCCTACCCCTAAAAGTTTTCCTCTCCCCTAGATTGTTTCACTGAGAGGCATTACATTATCCCAAATTAATCTGAATAGAGAAGTTATCTTTTAAAAGCTCTTACACATTATCTGGGTCATCTGTGAAACTTCTCTGGTCTTGTTTGGTTTTTTCCAATTTTGAGTAAGTAAATGGGACTTGTTTTAGTTTCTCCTTAAATTGTTTCTAAGGAGTAGTAATCTATCAGGTGGAGGTGTAGAGCTTGTTTCAGAGTAAAGAGGAGCTCCAGAAAGTGAGCCAAGAGGACAGAACATTCTCCTGCATTCGCTCCTATTTAGGCTGGATTACTGGCCATATCCAGAATTTTGGTGGTCTTTTTTCCATCCTTGATTAGCCTCCAAATTGTGTTGTGGGGGTCTGGGGTATAGAGTTTCTATACAGTGTTGCCTACACAGAGGAAGGTATTAAACCACAATGTGTCAGCTTCAAAGGAAAAGCCACAAAATTGCTTGAAAATGGTTTGTCTTTTATAGCCACAGAGGACTGGGTTGTTTTTTTTTTAACCATCTAAAAGGGTTTGGGTCTTTAAACTCTACCTAGGTGTCCCTTCTGTCCCTATACAATGATAATGTGTTGCTCAGAATTTACAAATCTGTCTTCATAGCTTGAAGAATATTGTGAAACTCATGAAGAATATGGAAGAAACATGTCATAAAGGTGTGCTGAGAGCTCAACTGGAATAGAGAAAACTTGGGAAATTCTCTGGAATCAAGATCAACTCTATATTGGGTTGAATATTGTCAAGACCTCAGAATGGAGCCTCATTTGAAAACACAGAGTTTGCAGATGTAATTATTTAAGATGAGGTTGGGCTGGATTAAATGATCCCTAAATTTTTTTTATTGAGTAAAATTTAATGACCAGTATCCTTGAATGGAGAGACATAGAAATACAGTCACTCAGATACACAGGAAGAAAGCCATGTGCCAAAGGTGATGGCAGATTGGAGAGATGTAGTTAGAAGTCAGGGGATGACTAGGATTGCCAGCAACTGCTAGAAGATGGGTCAAGCAGGAAAAAATACTTTCCTAGAACCTCTTGGGTAAGCACGCTCTGCAGACATCAGATTTCAAGGCTGTAGAACTCTGACAGAATATATTTCTGTCTTTTTAAAACTACCTATTTTGTGATAACTTGTTATGGCAGCTGTATTGGTTAAGCTTCTGTATATTT